GGTCGCTCCGATCCCCCCCCGCCCTCTTTTCCTTCTTTTTGCTCCCTTAATCCTCGTTCTTCCTCCTTTTTTCCTCCTTTATCCCTTGGTTATACTTTTTTTCTTTTTTTCCTCCTTTCCCCCTCCTTTATTATCTTTCTCTTCCTTCTCTTTCTTTTTTTTTCCCTCTTTTCCCTTTCCCTTCTTCCTCCTTTTTTTTTCCCCCTTTTCCCCGTTTTTTTTTCACTTTATCCCTCCTTTTTTAAACCCTCTTAACCTCCTTTTACCTTTTTTCCTCGTTTTTCCTTCTTCTTTCCTCCTTTATTCCCTTTTCTTTCTTCTTCCTTCTTTTTATTTTCCTCCTTTTCCCTCCGTCCTCCTTCTCTTTCCTCTTTAATCCTCCCTTTTTCCTCCTTTTCCGCTTCTCTCTTCCTCCTTTCCCCTTTTTGATTTCCCCCTTCTTTTATCCTCTTCCCCTTCTCTTCCGTCCCTTTTTTTTTCTTCTTTTTTTGTCCCTTTTTTCTTCTTTTTTCCCTGTTTTTTTCCCCTTTTCTCGGCCTCTCCCGGGCCTGTTTTCCACCTCCGGCTTTCCGTGGGAAGGCGGATTTAGGGCGGGGGGAGGAGGAGGAGGAGGAAGAGGAGGAGGAGGAAGAGGATTAAAGCTGGAATTTTTTTGGGGTGCAGTAAATTTGGGGTTTCGCCCGTGCCGCGGGGGGGTGGGGGAGGTTGGGGTGTCGGGTTTGGGTTTTTTTTGGGGTCGCAGCAGAGTTTTGGGGGTGTCAGCGGGGATTGGGGGCGGGTTTGGGGTTTGCAGGGGGGGTTCGGGGTCACGGGAGGGTTTTGGGGTGGAAAGAGGGGATTTGGGGGGTCCCCCGAGCCCCCCCGGCCGCGGGGAATGCTGGGAACGGCCACGCCCCCTTCCCGGCAGCCTCCGCGCGGCGGGCGGGGGGGACGCGCTGGACTGGACGGGCTGGACTGGGTTAGACTGGGTTTTACTGGGTTAGACTGGGTTAGACNTGGACTGGGTTAGACTGGGTTAGACTGGGCTGGACTGGGTTTTACTGGGCTGGACTGGGTTAGACTGGGTTTTACTGGGCTGGACTGGGTTAGACTGGGTTTTACTGGGCTGGACTGGGTTAGACTGGGTTTTACTGGGCTGGACTGGGCTGGACTGGGTTAGACTGGGTTTTACTGGGCTGGACTGGGTTAGACTGGGTTAGACAGGGCTGGACTGGGTTAGACCGGGTTTTACTGGGTTATACTGGGCTATACTGAGTTCTGCTGCGTTTTGCTGAGTTATACTGGGCTATACTGGGTTGTACAGGGTTATACTGAGTTATACTGGGTTACACTGGGCTATACTGGGCTATACTGAGCTATACTGGGTTATACCGGGTTATACCGTGTTATACCGGGTTATACTGGGTTATACTGAGTTACACTGTGTTGTACTGTGTTATACTGGGCTATACTGGGCTATACTGGGCTATACTGGGTTATACTGGGTTGTACTGGGTTATACCGTGTTATACTGGGTTATACCGTGTTATACTGGGTTATACTGGGCTGTACTGGGTTATACTGAGTTACACTGGGTTATACTGAGTTATACCGTGTTATACTGTGTTATACCGGGCTATACCGGGCTATACTGGGCTATACCGGGCTATACTGAGTTATACTGGGTTGTACTGGGTTATACCGTGTTATACTGGGCTATACTGGGCTATACTGAGCTATATTGGGCTGTACTGGGCTATACTGGGCTATACTGGGAGGCGCCGCGCGGTTCGCAGCGCGGGTCGGTGCCCTCATGGAGCGGTTCTTGGAGGGGAACCGAGCGGCGCTGCAGGTACGGGCTGAGGGGGAATTGGGGAAAGAAAGGGGGAATTGGGGGAAAAGGGAAAGAAAGGGGGAATTGGGGTGATTGGGAACATGAACACCCCAGATCCCTGAAATGGAGGAACTGGGGTGCAGGATCCCCAGGAGTGTGGGGTGCCCAGGGTTTGGGGTGCCCGGGGTTTGGGGTGCCCGGGGTTTGGGGTCCCCAGGAGTTTGGGGTGCTCCCCCCATCCCCTTCCAGCCCCCGGAGCTCTTGAGGGCTTGGAGCTGCAGCCGCTCTCAGGTTTGTTTTTTTTTTTCTTCAGCTTCTACCAAAAATGAGCAAATCTGGGTTATGGCAGTGGAGAATTGTCCCAAAAAAAGGGCCTGGGGGTGGGGCAGCTCCCGTGGGCGTTGTGGGGTGGGGGACAGGGATTGGGGCAGTGAGATTCTCTTCCTGCTGCAGACACCAAAAAAAGGGTTGAAAGATCACATTTTGAGGGGACAGCCAACCCCAAATGCAGCATTTCTAGAAAAATTGAGTTAAATGCTGTCAGGGCAGCGGGGCTGGGATGGTCCCTGTCCCTGTCCCTGTCCCTGTCCCTGTCCCTNGACTGGGTTAGACTGGGTTTTACTGGGCTGGACTGGGTTAGACTGGGTTTTACTGGGTTAGACTGGGTTTTACTGGGCTGGACTGGGTTAGACTGGGTTTGACTGGGCTGGACTGGGTTAGACAGGGCTGGACAGGGCTGGACTGGGTTGTACTGGGTTATACTGGGCTACACTGGGCTATACTGGGCTATACTGGGCTATACTGAGTTATACCGTGTTATACTGAGTTATACTGGGTTACACTGGGCTATACTGAGTTATACTGGGTTATACTGGGTTATACTGGGTTGTACTGGGTTATACCGTGTTATACGGGGTTATACCGGGCTATACCGGGCTATACTGGGCTATACTGGGCTATACTGGGTTATACTGGGCTATACCGGGTTATACTGGGTTATACTGGGAGGCGCCGCGCGGTTCGCAGCGCGGGTCGGTGCCCTCATGGAGCGGTTCTTGGAGGGGAACCGAGCGGCGCTGCAGGTACGGGGTGAGGGGGAATTGGGGGAATTGGGGGAAAAGGGAAAGAAAGGGGGAATTGGGGTGATTGGGAACATGAACACCCCAGATCCCTGAACTGGAGGAACTGGGGTGCAGGAGGAACAGGGGGTTTGGGGTGCCCGGGAATTTGGGGTGCCCGGGAATTTGGGGTGCCCCCCATCCCATTCCAGCCCCCGGAGCTGCCGAGGGCTTGGAGCTGCAGCCGCTCTCAGGTTTGTTTTTTTTTTTCTTCAGCTTCTACCAAAAATGAGCGAATCTGGGTTATGGCAGCGGAGAATTGTCCCAAAAAAAGGGCCTGGGGGTGGGGCGGCTCCCGTGGGCGTTTTGGGGTGGGGGACAGGGATTGGGGCACTGAGATTCCCTTCCTGCTGTTGCAGGAAAAAAGGATTGAAAAGGGATGAAAAAAGGGTTGAAAAAAAGGGTTGAAAAATCACGTTTTGAGGGGACAGCCAACCCCAAATGCAGCATTTCTAGAAAAATTGAGTTAAATGCTGTCAGGGCAGCGGGGCTGGGGTGGTCCCTGTCCCTGTCCCTGTCCCTGTCCCTGTCCCTGTCCCTGTCCCTGTCCCTGTCCCTGTCCCTGTCCCTACAGTGATCAGTGTTTTCCTGGAGCCCCGAGTGACCTCATTTCACACACGAACCCCAAAACCCCGAGGTTCCAGTGCCAAAAGTGCATCCAGGGATGCAGGAGCTCATCCCAAGGGTGAAATCTTGGGGTGACCCCTGCGATGAGTGACCCCACGATGCTCTGGGAGGGCAGGGGAGCGGTTTGGGCGTTTTTGGAGGATGGGGTTACATTGCTGCCACCCCAATGCTGATTTATTTATTTATTTATTCACCCCACCAGGATCACATCAGGCGGCGCCAGGAGATCCACGTGGTGATGGGCAACGAGGCGTGTGACCTGGACTCCACCGTCTCCGCGCTGGCCTTGGCTTTTTTCCTGGCCCAGGTGAGGTTTGGCCACTGGCCCGAGGCCAGCGCTGGCCCGGGGGACACTTCACCGGTGTCACCCCCTGTCACAGAGCTCCCCCGCTCCCAAAACCGCCGTCATCCCGGTGCTGAACATCCCCCGTGCCGAATTCGCGCTGCGCTCCGAGAGCGCGTTCCTGCTGCGGGAGCGGGGAATCGCTGCCTCCTGGCTCATCTTTCGGGACGAGATCGACCTGGGGAGGCTGCAGCGCGCGGGGCTGCTGGCGCTGACGCTGGTGGATCAGCACGTCCTGCCCGGGTGAGCCGCGGGGCACGGGGCACAGAGCCTTGGCTGAATTTGCCACGTGGGGTGGGTTAAATCGATGCTTTTTTGGGGTAGGGAAGGACCACAGGGGTTTTTTAGGCTGAGCCTTCCCTCGTTGCCCCCCAGTGCTGACGCAGCCCTGGAAGAGGCCGTGGTGGAGGTGTTGGACCATCGGCCACTGGAGCGGGAGCGCGGTGCCCCGTGCCAGGTGACCGTGGAGCCCGTGGGCTCCTGTGCCACGCTGGTGACAGAGAGGATCCTGCAGGGTCCCCCGGGCGTGCTGGACACAACCACGGCTGCGCTGCTGCACGGTGAGCACGGGGAATCCTGGCTGAGGGACCTGGCTGAGACCCGGAACACAGGGGACAGTGACAACATGGCACCGGAACACAGGGGACAGTGACAACACCACACCCAGGGGACGGTGACAACACAGCCCCAGGGGACAGTGACAACACAGCACCCAGAGGACAGTGACAACGCGGCCCCGGCACCCAGGGGACAGTGACAACACGGCCCCGGAACCCAGGGGACAGTGACAACACAGCCCCGGAACCCAGGGGACAGTGACAACACAGCACCCAGGGGACAGTGACAACACAGCCCCTGGCACCCAGGGGACAGTGACAACACAGCCCCAGCACCCAGGGGACAGTGACAACACAGCCCCAGAACCCAGGGGACAGTGACAACACGGCACCCAGGGGACAGTGACAACATGGCACCCAGGGGACGGTGACAACACAGCCCCCGGCACCCAGGGCGTGGTGACAGCGCGGTCCCCAGCACCCAGGGGACAGTGACAACACAGCCCCAGGGGACAGTGACAACACAGCCCCGGCACCCAGGGGACAGTGACAACACGGCCCTGGCACCCAGGGGTGACAACACGGCCCCAGGGCACGGTGACAACACGGTCCCCAGCACCCAGGGGACGGTGACAACGCGGTCCCCTGGTCCCCCAGGCACCATCCTGCTGGACTGCATCAACCTGAGCCCGGCGGCAGGGAAGGTGACACCGAGGGACGTGGCCTGCGTGTCCCTGCTCGAGGAGCGCTTCCCCGAGCTGCCGCCCCGCGACGCCGTGTTCGGAGCCCTGCAGGCGGCCAAGTTCGATGTCACAGGTGSGTGCCAGGGCTGTGGCACCGGGATGTGTCCCCTCCTGGGGACAGGAAGGTGTCCTGAGCTCGCCCTCGGTCACCTCTCAGGGCTGACAACGGAGCAGATGCTGCGCAAGGACCTCAAAGCCATTTCCAGCGACGAGCTGGTCATCGGCATCAGCGGCGTCTTCGAGGACCTGGAAGTGAGGCTTGGTTGGGGGGAAACTGAGGCAGGGAGTGGCACTTTGGGGACACCACGGTGACACCAAGGCCTCTCCAGATATTCCTGCAGCGGCCCGGCTTGCTGCAGGACGTGGAGGCTTTCTGCCAGGCCCGTGGCTACGCGGGGCTGGTGGCCATGACCGTGTCCTTTAACCAAAACCACGAGCCCACGCGGAAGCTGGCGGTGTTCAGCCGGCACGAGCCCCTCCGTGGCACGGTGAGTTTGGGCTCAGCCACCTCCAGGCACTTCCCCAAACCCCAAACCTCCCAATTTTGGGGGTGCTGGGAGGTCCCAGCCTCTCACTTGTTCCCCCATAGCTGTGCCGGGCGCTGGAGGAGGCGACCACCCCGTCCCTGCTGCTGCAGCCACTGGCCACCCCCTGGCCCTGCGTGGCCGCCTACGCCCAGGGCAACGCGGTGGCCGCTCGGAAAAAGGTGCTGCCCATCCTGCGGGCAGCCCTGGCGGGCTCGGGGGATGCCAGGGGCWCCGAGGAGGACGTGGTGCCACCTCCCACCCCCATGAACAGCCTGGTGGAGGAGTGTCCCCTGGCACAGGCMGTGCCACCGCTGTGTCCCCAGGATGTCCTGGAGCGGGTCAGCCGCATCGCCGCGGGGCAGCCCCCCGGCTCCCCCAAATAACGGCGGTGCCCCGTGGATTTTGGAGGTTCGGGTGAGAAATTGGGGTCCCTGAGAGGCCCCGGTGGGGTGCAAAGTGTGGGGGTGTCACAGCCCCGCCTTTGTTAGAGCACAGCTCCTGGTTCTTGTCGTGCTTTGTCCCCACAACGTCCCAAAGGCACCCAGGGTGAGTTTTTGGGGGTGCCACAGGCAGCAGTTGCACCCCGTTAATGAAGGGTGGGGGAGTTAATGAGTTCTTGATGATCTTCCTTCCTTGGGGGGCCCCRGAGGGTGGGTCTGGACTCGCAGCCGTCCAGCTTTGTCACCGTTTTCCACGATTAAATTTTCCTTTTGTTCCACTTGCGGCTCTTGGTTTTTATTCTGGGATGGGTCTGGTGCTGCCTCTCTTTACCTGGGGTGCCATCCCCCCTGCAGTGGTCACAGGAACATTTTGGGGTGTCAGTGCACCCTCACTCCTGATCCAGCCCAGCCAGAGGAAAGCAAAGCCTCAGTCACCCAGCACGTTCTAATTAATATTTAATCCTGGCGCTAATTAAACTATGTACACCCGCGCCCAAATTCCCGAGCCCTTCTTGGGGTGAGCCCGGGGCCGATCCCGGGTGGAGGGGAACCCACCCCGGTCCTGCCCCTGCTCAGGTGGGGTTTGGAGCTCAGAAATAAGAACAGATCCTAAAAAAGGGGGAGGTGGGAGTTTGGCAGCGGTGGGAATGCCAAAGTGGAGGCACTGAGGGCTCGGTGGTGCTGAGACACCGG